ATTTAAAAATATTATTTTATAAACTAATTTTATTTTATTGATAATAAATTTAAATTATTTTATAAATTAATAATTAATAATTATTAATTATTTTTAATAATTATATAAAAAATTGTGAGACATAGTCACATAAACAATATTTTGCATGTGACAATAACGAGGCCCTTTTTGGTTGCTTTTGAAATCTTAACAATTAATTAAGAGAAAAATACTAAACTGCGAATAAACCTTAAGGCTTCATGTTTGAGTCCTACTTTGTGAAGATTGTAGACTACTCCATGTTTTGTTTTTTGATTGGTTGATTCCATGATAATGGAAGGTAACCTTCCTTTTGCATTTGCAATCCCACTCGAATGTTAGAACAACTCAAATCTAAACCTTTAATGCCTTTATCCACCTGAATGTTAAAACAACTCAAATCTAAATCTTTAGTGCCTGCTTGGCTTGAAGGGAAAGGGAGGAAAGGACCAAGGAGAGGAGAGAAAAAAACTTTCAAACAATTAATTTAAGTTGTCGGCCAATTTAACACTCATTTCTTTCAAACCAATCAAGCACTTATTTTTTAGGTTAAACACTAATTTTGGTCTCTTAACTTTGAACTTTTACACAGTTTTAGTCCCTAAATTTTTTTTATATACTTTTTGGTTTTTCAACTTGTTTACACCATAAATTGCAAAAATTTAAAATCACGTCACATCTCAAATATTTTTAAATCGATGAAGGTGATTTAGCCATATCAATATGTAATTCTAAGTCTCATGACAGATCAAGTGCCTTAGAAGAAAAAGGGAGATAAAAAGATAAGATTTTATTTTTGGTTGCTTATTTAAGTCAAATTAGGTCTATTTTAGTTGGAATTTAGGAATTGGTTTCTTCTTTTTTCTTTTTTCTTTTTTTTTTTTTGGATCTTGGAATTAATTTTAGTTATGGATGTGGATTATCTAGTAATGGGACAGATGGCAAAATCTGAAAGAAATTCTGACTCTGTCAACTATTGAGATGTTCCACCTCTTCAAGAAATTGTCAATGATTTGTGTAACTATAGAAAGTGGGGGGTTGCAGCAGAGAAAAAGGAAATAAAAGGAAAATTTTGGATCATTCAACACACAGTTAGCTCCTACACACAATCAAAAAATTTTCAAACTTTTAATTTCTCTACGATTGCTCACTTTTACTTACAAATTTTTTATTTTAACACAATTCCCAATAGATTTAGATTGTTTCTCATAATTCTTGTAGTCAAATTTGTTCATGTTTTTGCTTCAGTAATTTTATTTCATTTAATAAACTTCAAGCTTTTGAATTTCTACAAAGTATTTATCCTTTTCTGACTAAAATTAGTTTAACATTTATAATAAATAGAATTTCATCAAATGATTACTCGTATAGCGTTTACGCTTCTTCTCAATTTCGAGCATGTTAATTTAGTTCATGTTCATATTTGTTTTAGTGTTAATTAGGGTTAAGTCTCCAAATCTATAGTAGTTTAGTTTCCAAATCTATCTACAGATAGCATTTTAATCTGACAATAAACAAGCGTTTAATTTGGATGCATTTTTTATTTGTAAATTTATTTTAAGTTACATGCCATTTACCTTGGAGTTGTTTAAGGTAGATTTAGTAACCTATTCTACAAGAAGGCATCTCTCTCTCTTGCAAATTGTTTGTAGATATAGATTTTAATTTTAGACAAACGATCATTGGAAAAATCCTTCTTTCTTGGTTTCAACAAAGTAAGTGACAGGTTTACATTCAGATTCTACACATGTGAGGCTATGAGAGGATTTTTGAGGAAACACAATTATAAAAAATACTTTTTGAAAAAAATTATTTAATTAATTAGTTGTTAAATATATCTATATAGACATTTTTAAGCCCTAAATTTTTAAGTTGAAAGATAAAAATTATACAAAATCTTAAAGTTGAAGAATTAAAAATGTACATATATAAACAAACTTAATAAATTAATTGATAGAACAGCTAAAAAAATATATTTTTCATAATTAAAAGATCAAAAAAGTAAATAAGAGATAATTGAAAGACTAAAATTATATAAAACTTTAAAGTTGAGGGTTCAAAATTAATATTTAACTATATTTTTACCATAAACATATAATGTCTTATCACCGGACCATGTCCATGTCATTTGTTGGTCCAACTCTTCACACATATCTGTAATTTTAGTACTGGATTGTGTGTTCTGTAAGTATTGATTTCTCTCTGTACTCTAGAACAAACTGTTGCACCGTAAAAGGTTGAAAATTCATTGCGGGCCCTTTTCTTCCTCTTTTTTTTTTTCTCCTTTTTTAAGTTCCTATCCATGCTCTTCATTTTTAAACACCTCAACAAGAAAAGGGCGTTTGTAAACGTCCAAAAATCCCAAAAGTCATATCATTTTTTCAAATATGATGGCCTTAATTTGTAGGAGAAAAAAAATGATAAACTTAAATGAAATAAATAAAATACAACATTTTAATAATTAAAATATTAGTATTAATATTGATGATAAAAAAATTAAAATTTTTTAAAGAATCGATAAACTAATAAGATTTATTAAGGGGGATTTGGTTAGGAAGAAATATTTCTCTTTAAATGTTTTTTAAATCTTCTTTCTTACAAAATTATTTATATATTTCAACACATTAATACTATAATAAAAAATTAAGAGTGATACTTTAAATATGTATTTTTTTAATATAATTCTTAACTTATAAAACTTTTTTTCTCACTTATTTTGAAAGAAAAAATTTTCTCTATAACTTTTCTTATATTGAACTTATTTAATATCTTTTCATATATCAATTTTTTATTAAACATAATTAATTAATAATCTAATAAAAATTTTTATTTTTTAATTTTTTAAAAATAATATAAATAAATATAAATATTATCTTAAACATTTAATTTAAAAAAATTAAAATTTTTTAAAGAATCGATAAACTAATAAGATTTATTAAGGGGGATTTGGTTAGGAAGAAATATTTCTCTTTAAATGTTTTTAAACCTTCTCTCTTACAAAATTATTTGTATATTTCAACACATTAATACTATAATAAAAAATTAAAAGTGATACTTTAAATATTTATTTTTTTAGTATAATTCTTAACTTATAAAACTTTTTTTCTCACTTATTTTGAAAGAAAATATTTTCTCTGTAACTTTTCTTATATTAAACTTATTTAACATCTTTTCATATATCAATTTTTTATTAAACATAATTAATTAATGATCTAATAAAATTTTATTATACAATTTAATAACTTTTTATAAAATA